TAGCAATTTATGGGATAAATTGTGCTGTCTAGCTTGAAACAATGGCACCAGGTCATCAGTATTTTGTTATGAAAAAACAAATACTTTATAATTTATTGTATAACATATGAAGAATTCCTCTGATATTGAATGTGGATATTATTCTTTAAATCATGTAGCCATTGTTTTCCAGTTAACCCTTTGCAACCCAACATCAGTATGCATATTCTCCATACTGTTCTCTATACATCTCTTAAGGGGCTAACAAGGAGAATTTGTCTAAGAATCAAGAGTTTCTTTTTTGGTGATCATTCCCTTTATTCTCATGACCTTAATGTGTGATACAGGGGTGATATTGTAAGGAGAAATAGAATACTGGTCACTCTAAGGGGTTCTAAGATCCATTTCTGTTATTGCATGGCAAGTGATGTCTTTGTTTCAGGGTTCTTATTTTGAAGAAAAAAATGGTTCATATCATTCTGGTTTTTAGTGATAGTACTGTTTGTTTGTTTGTTTTTTTTTTACATGAACCTTTCTGTACAGGTGTTGACTTCAAGGTTAAAACTTTGACTGTGGATGGAAACAAAGCAAAACTAGCAATTTGGGTAAGAACTGCTGTTGATGGATGATGACACCACTGTAATTCATGATGCTTGAGTGACAGCTAAGGTTTACTGTCGAATTACTTTATAATTAATTTGATAATTTGTTTTGTTAGTTTAATGGTTATAACATCACTTTTCTGTTTTAGGACACAGCAGGGCAGGAACATTTCAGAACACTGACTCCCAGCTACTACAGGGGAGCACAAGGAGTTATTTTAGGTACTAGAAATAAAATGATTTTCACCTCCTAATTACTTGCTGTCATCACTCTTCAAAAAAAATTGTCTTGTTGATTTTGTAGCGTGAGAGAAGGTGACAAAATTGCAGCACTGATATTGATACACAGTAGTTTTCAACCTAATAGAAACTTAAGCATTTCTTAACTTTCAGTGGTGAGTTGAAATTTATGTTGGTGTCAAATCACCTCTGAAAATTAATAAATGCTGAAATAGTTTGCATTAAGTTTCCCCTGATTTCCTATGCTAACAACATCAATGGCACATACCATAGTTCCTCAGATAAGTTCCCAGGCACTGATTTAAAATTCTGGTGGAAAGGACAGGCACCTATTGGACGGAGGGTACTTATTCTATTTAAGTTAGCCCAATAATAGGGAAAAAATATGGATGAGACTGTTCATGATAACGTTCAAGAAAATCTTGTTTTTTTCCCTTTAGTTTATGATACAAGCAGCAGAGAGACGTTTGAGAAATTGGAAGAATGGCTCAATGAAATAGAAATGTATTCAACAAAAAAAGACATCATAAAAATGCTTGTTGGCAACAAAATAGACAAGGTACAGTGAAACCTTTTTGTTTTTATATTAGACCAGATTATTATTACCCAATTTTTATTATTAAAAACTGGAGTCTTCTCCCTCAATTTGAACCTAGAGATAAAATGAATATCTTACTAACCTTGGTGGTCTATACTGTAAGTTATGGAACCTTTTCTTTTTTTTTTTTTTTTTTCAATCAGACTTAGACTTAGCATCATTTCTTAGGCTGTTGTGTTTGATTAATATTCCTATCTTCCAATATTCCTAAACTTTAAAAATCTCTTGTGGGTACATGTATTTGCTTGGTACAGGATTAACTGTAATTGCATACAGTAAGGTTTTGTGCATGTTTGATGTATTAGAAATTCAGATTTTCATACTGTGCTTTTTAGGAGGGTTGTGAAGTTGATAGAAAACAGGGATTACAATTTGCAAGAAGACATTCCATGTTATTTATTGAAGCAAGGTTAGTGTCAGCTTGAGTTATAAATATTTATTCCCCTGGAATCAAGGATCAAATGGTTTTTTTTTTTGAACAGCCACCTATGTAATGGCACAAGATGGTTTGGTGAAACAACTATGAAGACAATTGTTCAGGGACTTGAAGAATGACAAAAAAAAATTTTAAAAAGTTATTTTATGTTCAAATGTTTATTCTTTTTATGAAAAAAAGCCGTAATTTTAATTAGAGTATGTTATTAAAATTGTACAGAAAGGTAGTAAAGAGATTCTTTTAACCCTATAACTTCCAAGATCTAATTGTTAATTCTCCCCTCTGGCTGTTACACATTTCCTTGTAAATTAGTTGGGAGAATTTGGTGTCATACCATAATTATAACTTCTACCTGATAAGTTTGAGTATTCTCATTACCTGTTTGCTGGATAATGTATGGAGATTATAGGGAGAAGTTAAATGTTAATCATTTCTGGGAATTAAAGGGTTAATGAGTTTCTAGCCGGTGATTAAAATGGTATCCTGTCTTTCAACAAAATAATTGTACATTGTGTCATCTAAGTTTTATTTTTGATGAACAAATCTTGCTTCTTTTTTTTTGTAGTGCAAGAACAAGGGAGGGGGTTCAACTTGCTTTTGAGGAACTAGTAGAGAAGGTATTTAAAGAGCCAGGCAATTAAAATGTTTTACGTTGTTATATTATGGAAGACGTAGAGGCTGTAACCTTTTAACTCCCATTGGCTTCCAGCCATCATGGGTTATGAGCTATTACATCATGCTCTACAAATATGGTAAGGGTGATCATAAAAAAGTCAAGTTTACAAAATAAAGTTGGGAAGATTATTTTTGGGGTGTTTTTAGATCTAATCTTAACAGCGGTCTAGTGTAGCATGCAAGGGGTGGGCCCAAGGTGGTCTTTTTACTATGATTGATAATTTGCATATTCCCAGGGCATTTTATTAATATATGCAAATGGCTTTGCACAATCCTCTGAAGTGAGCCTAAATTTATTTCTGTTAATTGTTTGTCTGAGGTCACCAAATGAGGCGAGAGATTTAACCAAGAGGTATGTTTCAATACAGAAGCGTCTCTAAATTATTGAATTGTTTAAGTGTAGTTTTTTAAGAGGAAAACCATGAACTGCAAATGCACAACTTGTTCATCTTGCAGAAATCTTTCCATGACTTAAAATTGGAAGTCACTGCCATCTTTACATACAGGTTATCATCCAAAATGTGTGGTCTATGCTAGTTTGTAGTGAAAAAATTTAAAAAATATTGATAAACATCGAACAAATAGAGCGTCATCGATTGCAGCCATCGTAACAAGAATATTAATGCTACAGAAGCTTTATCATGCAAAAAAAATTAACAACTACCTCTGGCTTAAGATTGATTGTAGCACTTTAATTTTTTTATAGGATCCTAAATTGTATTTTTTCCTTCAACTTTAACTTTGACTTAAAGGTTTTGAATGCACAAGTGGAAGTTGGGGAAAATATAATTATTAACAGATGCAAAAAAAACTTACACTTAACAACTACCTCTGCTTTTCCAACAACTAACCGAGATTTTCCACGTGGATGCATTTACATTTAAGTTTACATCACTTTCCTTGCAATATCTACAACAAACATAATCGCAAGCGATGAATTTCAGCTTGAGATCTTTGCAGAACGCAAGCTTGTGACCAGGAGATGTGTTTTGCAATGCTGGATCAAGAGTGATAAATTTATTATGTGAGCTTTTCCTTCGAGAAAGAGAAACTAGGATTATATTAATTATGTACATAAGCTCAATATGTGCAACATATGATAAGTCGGAATACAATAATTTTTTTTTTCATGTATATGTGTGTGTGTAATATTAATGTATGGTAACTTAATGCATGTAGATTTTAGGTCAATTTGCTTAATATATTTTAAGACCAAAGTTGCGCGGTGAAAACTTATATATTTATTAATTTTTCTTTTCAATTAATTCTTAAAATTGGATTAGATTTTGGCTGTGTGGAGATTTAGGACAGAAGTTAACTCCTTGCACTTTAACATCAGTATGCATATTCTCCATATTGTTCCTTATACAATTTATAAGGTGCTGACAAGGAGAAGTTGTTTAACAATCAAGAGCTTCTTCAGCTAGTGATCATTTTTATTGCTATTGCCTCCCATGGAAGCAAAGCCATTATGTTGTCCTGTTGAGTTGAGTGAGGGTAACAATAGAATACGAATGACCTCTTCATCCACAACAGAGTCTGCCGAGTTTTACCTGATATTCCTCGCAATGATAAAATTGAAAAAAATCTGCTATATTTATCAATTTAATATTGATTGAGTTTTTCCAAGAAAACTGATATTTGAAATATTCACTAATCTATAACTATTCAATTAAAAAGTGATAAACTTCCATTGCAAACATCTATACATAAGTTGCAAATGGTGCACGTGTCCTCAAGAAAAGAAGTCAAGTCTTTCTTTCTGCATCATCACACAACACCTGGTTCTTTCAATGCTATTAAAAAATTGTTCTATATTAGTAGCTGTATGCATATGTTGGTTATTTATATCCATATGTTGGTGTATTAACTGCCTATTTTCTTTATTATTGTGACCTATATTTAATGTTTGATTCAGGGGTGATATATATTATGAAGAGAAATTAGATGCTAGTCCCTCTCAGGTGTAAAAGGGTTAACCCTTTCACTCCCAAGATCTAATTAGTAATTCTCCATACTATCTGCCATACAATTCTTATGATGTTAGTTCAGAGAATTTGGTGTTGGATCAACTAATAATCCCATAATTTATATTCTTCTCTATTCTCATCACCTGCCTGCTTGATATTGTATTGACATTGTAAGGAGAAATTCTGTCTTGGTCACTTGTGGGAGTGAAAGGGTTGACACAGTCTCAGTTCTGGAGGAAATTGTAGTAACACTGTTGCAACTCTTCTAAATGTAGAGTATTGTTGTACATGTAGTTATTTCTCATGGGGTGTCTTTCCTGAATGGAAATTTCATCTTGTATCTTCCAGATGTAAAAAAGTGAAGTTCTTAACAAAAAACGTTTTGTGCTTTTTGTTTTGTAGTAGGCATCCTCACTTGATGTGATGAAATCTGCAGCAAGGAAGTTCATTGATTTTGTGAACAATGGTCCCTCGCCTTACCATGGTATGTTTTATCCCTGTAGCTTCAGAGTCTGGTGAACTTCTTAAATTTGTTTGCTGTCTCTTCATCTTTTTAAACCAGTGTTTAAATGTATTAGGAATTAGTTTTACAGTATATACACAACTTGAAACACTTAACTTCCATTTCAACATGAACCTCCTTACAATATCAAGACATGATCCAGTCCAAGGGTAAACAGCAACAACAATCTTTGTGACAAATGTGATTTAAACCTTGGGAAACAAGGGATTCACTGAAAATCTCATCATTTGTCTCTTGATATAAAATATTGGTAAAATCAAGCCATCAGTTAAAGATCCCAATATTATCATTGTTATACTGCTATTCTTTGTAAGGTGAGAGGTTAAGTGGTGAAATGAAAGTGTTCCATGACAGTGATGTGCTATGACAAACGAGCAACCTAGCTTGTATGCATCAATACCAGTTGACCATCTAGCTGCATGAATTGGGGTGCATAAGGAAACAGACTCAATACCTGATAATGACAGCAGAATCACCACAGCTGCATGTTGCATTCATTAACTGATAGAGCCTGACTCTTTATAAACAAAGTTATTTTGATGGGAAAGCTGATATGTTTTGTTTCAGTTGTCAATGAGTGTAGAAAGGTGTTATCAGCAGCAGGATTTAAACAGCTCAAGGAAAAAGAGCACTGGGATATCAAGCCTTTGTATAAGGTGAGAAATGAGATTTGGGGTTTTTATTAAACTTTTGGTAAAGTTGTTGTTTGGACATGACCCAGAATCTCATAATGGTTTCCAGAAATAAAAACTCTGCTGTCTGGGAAATCACATAGTGCACTTAAAATTGGCCACACCTGTTTTCTTTGAAATGAGTGAGGGACCCATCTTTATTTCTGTCGAAGGAGGAGGGAAAAATATGTTGGAGATAAAAATTTCTAAAAGCCCCCCCCCCCCCCAACCTCTTCAAGCCATCTAAATAGCAAGTGACCCTCCTCCTTTATCAAAAATTTACGTGATGACCCCCCCTCCCCCTGTCTCCTCATTTCTCCTTCCATTTGGCTATTAATTATTAAAATCTGTCACATACAACTATAAGATGATTAATTTGCATAACACCCACCTGAGGCAATGTACCCCTTTTTAAAATGTATCTCAAAGTACTGACCTCCCCCCAGACTCCCTCCTCCCAAAGAAGCATGAAAATTTGGTGAATAATCAGAATTTTTCTGACCCAGAAGAAAATTAAGTATGAAAAGAGAAATGAGAAGTGTTCAAAAAAATTGGGATGAAATCAGAAGTTTTAACCCAAGGAAAGCAAGTTAAGCTAAATATCTGGAAGTAAATGGTAAACAAGTAACAAGCCAGATTCATCTTGAGTATTGCAAACTTTATTTATGATCTATTTTTAGACCTTGGCGGTCCCCAGCTAGCAATGCACTCCATCCGAGAAATGTGCTGCTCCTCTATTGTACATCAAGAGACACTGCTATTCAAGGTGACAATTTCTATGCATAGTAAGGCATTCATAAGCTCGCGTTACATGATATGTCACGTAACGCTATCTTACCCTGGGGCGAAGTTGCACGTGATGGTTTCCGTCATGTCGCCCAATAGTCATGAAATTATAAAGCACACAGCATCGCCAATCTACTCGTTCTCTAATGGTAGCCGGGAAACGGTGTGTTCTCTGGTCCTCTAAGCTAACAAGAAAAATGCCGCCAAGGAGCTAGGTGCACAATCATCGCACTGTATGACCTTTTGGCGTGGTCTAAATACATTACCTTCATTAACTATTTTTTTATTGTTAAGAAGGTCACAAATAGACACAATAGGAATTGATTTGTATATTACTCGCCTGCCTTTTACTAACATGTCGTAAGCGACAATCGACATTTGTTTACCGGGTTTTGATCATCACCAAGAGCCCATTATTAATGAGCTCCTGTCATCACTGAGTGTTTGGACGGTTGCAAATCTACCATGGGGTTGACCAGTGAGCAAAGTGATTCTCCTTAGCAATTAAATGAGAGTTTTTATTTTTATTTTTATATTTTGCAGGGTTCCTTTGAGACACTTCCAACAGTACTGGATTCCGTAGTTGGAGCTGACTAAAGTCAAGCCACCGGCATTCCTGAGCTTCTTTTGCATGAATCCTCTCCCCAAACTCCGTTTAAATGATTTTTGCTTGAAAAGCAATGTAGGTTCAACTCAGCGAAGCAAACAAGATACTTAGTCAAAAGAAAAGGAACATAATCCCAGCACAATCAATGTAAAAATTGTGTAACAAGGGAAGGGGTTGAAGAGGGGAGCACGTAAACAAGAGATAGTATTCAAACAGTGTATCCTGAAAACTTTCTCATTTATCCATTGTCCATTATAATCAGGCAGGACGTATACTGGCATAAAACGGTGGTTCCTGGAACTGTGTGCCTTGTTTTGTATTTACGGTCTAAAAACAAGGATGACGAAAAGCATGTGACAAGCAAATAGAAATTAGCACGCTCGGCGCAATAAACGTTTGCACTACTCTTCTGACTCGATCCACCTGCTGAATTTCTAACTAAAAAGTTTCTTGAAGCTGTGAGTATATATTGATAACATTCATCGTGTTTGTTTTGTGTTAAGTTGCAAATGCAAAGGGTGTCTACACATTAAAGACTGAAAAGACTGGCAAAGTTTAGTTTGACGGCGACTTCTTTCCGCCAGTACTAGTCGCTTTCACAAAAGAATTTTTTTATTTTGATAGAATGGTACCCTTTCTTTTCTTCCTTGGGCCTGTTTTTTATTTGGTAATTTGTTGATGTCAGTTTGAGTGAAACTAGATGAAACCGGCACGAGCAAGTCACCTAGTTCATCTTGTGCTTCATGGCTTCCAGTTGTTGTGATTTCCATAGGTTAATTAGCTCACCGTATTTCCTCGAATATAAGCGCCCGTGCGCTTATTTAAAATTCCGGGCAAATAGAGGGAGGCTTATTGGAAGGAAGGCGCTTAGTAAGTGCGGCGATAGGACAAAAATTAAATGAACAGACAACACACATAAAGGAACTCTGCAAGCATATGATAAAATATTTCCTTTCAAAGGATAACGACGGGCTATATGCCCTTGTAAACGGCAGTCATGTCATTCCCCATTTGAGACTTCTAGCTGCAAACCTTGAACAGCATTTTTCTCGAAAGATCATCTCTCAGGTCAACAAATGCGAGTTTTTAATCAGACTGTCCTCATGACTTTCGAGTATTCGGCAAGTTTTCCTATCGCCGTTCTGAATTCGAAGCAGCAAGAAGTTATTTCAACCTGGCATTAAACTTGTTCAACGTGTTTCAGCCAGTGGTAATGTTCAATTATATAATTATGCACTATCCATTAGGCTGAAAGAACTCGGGCCGGAGCATGTTGATGTCGCCATTTCTTGTAATAACCTGAGTCGGGTACACCATAACCAGGGTAACCTATCGAAGGCAAGACATTATTATAATTGTTCACGGGCCATATTTTTGAAAAAGCTTGGACTTGACCATGTTCATATGGCAACTTCTTACAGCAACCTCTGTCAGGTGCACCGCCGGTGAGCTCGGTAACCTGGGTCGAGTGCACCACAACCAGGGTCACCTAAAGAAGGCAAGAGATTACTATAATCGTGCACGGGCCATATTTTTTGAAAAAGCTTGGACTTGACCATGTTCATGTGGCAACTACTTACAGCAGTCTGAGTCAGGTACACCGTGAGCTCGGTAACCTGGATCGTGCGGAAGATTATTATCATCGTGCATTCGTCATTCTACATAAAACGGATAATTTAGTGTTCACAACTGGGTTGAAAACGTACATAGCAAAAAAAAAAGCTGACGTTTCGAGCGTTAGCCCTTCGTCAGTCGCTCTGACGAAGGGCTAACGCTCGAAACGTCCTTGAGTGTTATTCGCGTTGTGTTACTTTTTTACCCTTTACGGTGGCTAATTTACGTTTTCAACCCAGTTGTTAACACTAAATTACCTGCTATACTCTCCCACCGACGCAGCACCACTGTTTCTTTAGAAACTTACCCCTTTATACATAAAACGGAGCTCGGATCTGGGTATGTAGACGTTGCAAATTTTCATAATAACCTGAACGCCCACACTAAGAGAATCTAGAAGACTGGGTGACCTGAATCTTGGAAAAGCCTGATTACGGTGACTGTGCGCTGGCATCTCACCTAAAAGCAGGAGGTCGAACCAGACAAGATTTACCTCGCATGCAATATTCCGAAGATTAACCCTGCATTGATGTAGAGGAGCTGCGAAAGCGTATTGGTTTTCTGTTGAATTACGTTCTGTCCTCGACAAATTCATGGCTGCCGAGGATTTAGTTGCCTCAGCGTGAAGTCAGTCACAAACGAAAAATGTCAGTTTGCTCACAGGCATCCTAAGCTCACCTCTCGAGGAAAAAGGGAAAGATTATTCTCGGACACCTAAGAGTTTATTCATGAAAGCGTCCGCGTTGTGTTACGCGGCGGCGTTTACGGTGGCGGCCCCAGTCCCATGGAACGGCCTTCCTTTGCCAATAAGGCAGGATAAAAACATTGATTCTTTTAAAAGTTTACTTAGGACTTATTTGTTTTCCAAGGCATTTTGTTGAGATTTTTAAGGTATATTTTTAGAACACATGTATGTATTTGTATATATAGTTTTATTAATATTTAATATTATTATTATTATTATTATTATTATTATTATTATTATTGTAATGCGCTTTTGATTATAGACGTTTACCGAAAACGCGCACCACAGATAATAAATGTTTTTGTAGAAGGTTACGCGATAGGACCTGTTAAGAATTTGAACCCACCATGAGGAATAATGTGGGGAACTAAATACGGTCGATCTACAATGCTAAATATCCGGAAATATGAAAATTTTACAGGTTAAGTCTATATAATTTACCCACTCCTTTGTGTCCACACAGTTATTCCTGTCATAAGCACTTAGAACACTTAAAACAGCGATAATTATAAAACAGAAGAATTTGATATTCTGTTGTGATAGAAACATGAAACATGAAATTCGAAAACGGATTAACAAGAAACTTTAAAATAAATACTCGTTATCTAAAGTTCACATTATGTGCTTATTTCACATATTTGATACCCACCACTAAACAAAATCACACCAAAACAGATCAATTAAAAGACAGTGGAAGCTAACTGATATCAAAACTTAGAAGTGAAAATTTTAAGTCAATGAAGTATAAGTCATTCAAGACATACATGTACATAAATCTACGAAAGACATTGAACAGCACTTGTATAGTTCAACTCCTTTAGCTCTTGAGTTAAAATAATGTATAAAGTAATTAATTTGTTTCCCCTAATTTTGACGCAACTTTTGTTTCATCAATCTTCGCATCATCATCCTGAATTTCATCCACGATAACTATAGATCTTATGTCGAGGTGCGTTGAAAGATTTGAAAATTTCTTTTGGCGTCTACTGTCTCACTTAAAGAGCTAGAAATTAGTAATTACTAGCCAGGCGAGCTACATGACGTCGTTTCGATTGCGGCTCAGAGCACCGTATCGATCTGTTCGTCCTAACGATACTTTTATTAACTTACAATTAGGCTGTGGGGTGTCACAAAGGATGATCATTTTGAAAAACAACTCGTTGACGCGAAATCCATGCCTCTGTGCTAAATTATTCAAGAATCTCTTGAAACGGTGGGTATCATTCATTATTGATCGTATCTGTTTTAACTTTAATTTATAGTATTCTTCAGCCGAATCTTGATCCCGAAGATTCAAATGTGTCATTTGAGACCAAAGCCCTTCATTTCTTTGTGCTGTTTACCTACCGTCAAGTCACGAAATCAAATTGAGTTAATTTGATTGATTTCGGACAAAATGTTAAAGTCCTTAAAACCACTAAATCCTTGCTATGATATCAGCACACAGCTGTTTTTCTTATTTATTATCACGGAATGTACCTGTAAAAAAAATCATTACCGAAACTAACGAAATAACCGAAACCTAGTAGAGTTTGGAGATTCTAGATAATGCGAGTGCATTGGATTGAAAACAGCAAAAAGTATTAAATTACTAGAAGAAAGGTGCCGGGAAGTGCCTACTTTAAGCTTTTAAATACTATAGTAAGGGAACGAAGGCTTCGATACGGTCACCCCATCTGTCATTCGAGACACAAGGGAATTTTCCCTTCAAAAGCTTTCGTTGTGGGCTTGCTTTGCCGTCCACGCTGTTATTCCTGTTACAAGCACTTAGAACACTTAAAACAGCCGTAATTATAGAACAGAAGAATTTGAAATTCTGTTGTTATAGGAAAATGAAATTCGAAAATGGAGTAACAAGAAACTTTGAAATAACATTCGTTATTCAAAGTTCACATTATGAGCCTTTTCTCGTGTTTGATACCCCGGCACCACCCACCGAAATCCCGCCAAAACAGATCAATTAAGAGACAGTGGAAGCTAACTAATTTCAAAACTTATTAGTGAAAAATTTCAATCAATTTATTGAGTAGAAGTCATTCAAAACATACATGTACATAAACATACGAAAGTTCTCAAAAAACCCAAGAAACATGAAGATTTTCACCATTAGTTATCGCCAGAGTGAGACATAGTTTGACGCTACTCTGGTTTGCAGATTTAATGAATGTAACCGAAGAAGTTACGATTCATAGACCCAACGTTTCGACAGAAACGTATTGCCAGAGTGTTTGCAAAAAAATAAGGCCCGGACATTGAGACACTGAACTACACTTGGATGGTTCAACTCTTTTAGCTCTTGAGTTAAAATAATGAGTAAAGTAATCAATTCATTTCCCCTAGTTTCGACGCAGCCTTTGTTTCATCAATCTCCGAGTCATCTTTCTGTATTTCATTCTCGATAACTGGATCTTACGTCGAGTTGCGTCGAAAGATCTGAAAATTTCTCTCACGTTGCGTCTACTGTCTCATTTTAAGAGCTAGAAATCAATAATTGCTAGCCAGGCGAGCTGCATGACGTCGTTTCGATTGCGGCTCAGAGCATCGTATCGATCTGTTGCTCATAACAATACTTGTAAGAACTTACACTAAGGCAGTGGGGTGTCACAACGGATGATCATTTTGACAAAACAACTCGTGGACGCGAAATCCATGCCTCTGTGCTAAATTATCTCTTGAATCTCTTGAAACGGTGGGTATCATTCATTATCGGTCGTATCTGTTGTTTAAGTTTAATTTATAGTTTTCTTCAGCCGAATCTTGATCCCGAAGACTCAAATGTTTCATTTGAGACCAAAGCCCTTCATTTCTTTGTGCTGTTTACTTACTGTCAAGTCACGAAATCAAATTGAATTAATTTGATTGATTTCGGAAAAAATGTTAAAGTCCTTACAACCACTAAATCCCTGCTATGATATCAGTACACAGCTGTTTTTCTTACTTATTATCACGGAATGTATCTTAAGCTACTGAATTTGAGCAGACTTCATTGTTATTCCAGAAGGTCACAGTGGAATCGTGGTTTGACAACCATAATTTGATCACTAGAAAGTCTTT